AAGGCGGGTGTTACAACTTTGAATCCTCCAATACCCTCTTATAATTATATCTTCGAAGCCGCTGGTCCAGCGATATTCCCAACGATTCCTGAGACCTCGCTGGACTGCAGCTGCGAAGTGTAATATTTCAAACGATAAGCGGCATCCTTTGCTCATATATTTATTTATATTGGCTTCACGTAACAACTGACACTATGGCACCACTATTCCGTGCCGCAGGGATATGAGTGTCAGTTGTTTGTACTCCGCTTACACCAAGTCTTACTCATAATATTCCAATTTAATCACTAGCTTAAATTGGACGACTTCAGGGCTTGTTTGTTATTTTGTTTTATAATAGACCACTGTAGGTCGTGGTTAAAGGGGCGAGAAGGCCCACCCCTTACACATTCATTCATTCATTCATTCATTCATACTTTGTTTTACGAAACCTCGTCCTCATTTCTGGCATACGAATTCAACAAAAATTTCATTTGTACCTGTTAAGCACCATGCAATTAAAACCTATGTATGAGTGGAAGTTAGCTCCACGAGTTCTTAACCTCGCCAAGAAAATGGGCGGCCAGCTTCTCGCTTCGGTCATATTACCCCTGGCAAACAGCCCCCGATACGCTTTGAAGAAAAGGCCGGATAGTGTGTAGACGGGGTCTTGAAAGAGCACCGAAGAAAAAATTTCTATTCCGTATGGAAATCGAAACCCGATTTCTTTGTTATGTAGCCCATATCCTATTCGCTGTAAGGACCGAAATATATATCTGCAAGAAATGAACCTAAGACCAGAGAGAAACAAATTTACAAAGGCAGGACATGCAATACACATGTAGTCTGTAAGATTGTATATCTCAGGCGATGTTAATTGAATTTTCAAAGGAGTCTAAAAGATGAAATTTTGCATACAGTATTCAGCGGAGTAGTAGAAGCAAAGCAGCGAAATTTCGATCCTCTCGGTTTCGTCTTTGTACAGAAACTTGGATTGAAATGACACAGTTCTGAGCAGATACTAAAGGAGGTGCTTCCATCTTGAGTGCTCGGGTACATGACAAAAGAAACAATCAGGGACAGCGGCGCGCTTGCGACACGGGTGCAAGAGAAATGGGTCTTATGAGAAACTTGTTAAAACTTGTATCTGGAAATGTGGGTATTCCATGGAATATAAAATGAGCACTGGGAGGACAAATAGTTCTCTTGATCAGGGGAAGGAAAACTTTATAGCCAAAGACCGGATTAAATGGTACAAGCATGTTGCTAGGTCCAAAAGAGGCCAAAACAATACTTATGAATTATTTATAATACGGATAAACGAAAGATATATCTTTACTGAGATAGATGGCGCTGTTTGCAGTCGCGTGTAGGAGGGAAGCTGAAATAATCGCGCCCTCAGCTCTTTTGAGCAAACCGCGGCCCCCCGCCATTCTGGTTACTTCTGGAGGATGAGAACGAGGGTGGCAGAGATCCTGCGCAAACGTCTGGGAATAAGCTGCGCCAAAATAAACATGTATGAAATTAGCGAGTCCTGTCAATGGGAACCCAGAAGCGGCGTGCAGAACACGGGTGTGGTAACAATTTACGTAGTGACCTTGGGGCAGCAGCGACAAGGCAAGTGCAATACTGATTAGTGACGTAGCAATAAACTAAATTCAATTAACGTCAAACTAAAATACTGCTCCAAAGTAAAACAAAAGTTGCTACAAACAAAAAACAAAATCCGTGGCCTGTAGCCCACAAGCGAACTATACCGACCGAGCGACCTCCGCTTGTCGGCAAAGTTAGTGCCAACTTTTGCGGATAGAGGGTGTCACGTGGTCAGTGCAACGGATCCCCTCGGCCGTTAATCCCAGTTTTCTAGACCGGAGCAGCTAATATTTCCTTGAAATAGCTCCTCAGTTATCCTCACGAGGCTGAGTGAACCCAGGTCCAGACCCACTACTTCTCAGAAAATCTGGTAGTGCCGGGAATTGAACCCGAGACACAAGAGTTACTATAAAATCATAAACAATATAACGACGTGACGCCTGAAAGCCGCGATCCCTCCGCCTGCTGAGAGGAACTTCGCGTAGCAGTTTCCTAGGCAATGGATACCGAACCACTTCAGTTCCTGCGGCAACCAATAACGCTGGAGACCGTTGCGTCGAAAACGCGAAACAGAAATATTCAAGGAAGTGTTTGCTATCCCAGCCGCCTAGCAGGAATCAAAGCAGTTGAGAAGCCGTCAGTTGAGAAGAGAAGTCAGAAGTCGGACGAACCGGAAGGCCGGATGCGCAAGATGCAGACAACACTGAGGGATTCGTTATCCAGTAGGAGTTGAGTGTCTGAATTATTATAGCCGAGTGTAATTGTGAGAGTGACATCAAATAAACCTAATCATCAAATCCTGAATCCACAATTATTAGTCACGCGTAACCCCCCCCCCACACGCGATAATCTTATAGACAGATTTTCATTAGAGGTGAGCATGCCAAAGAAAAAGGTGTCACGATCCGAATTAGGACAGCGGACCGTTGTTTGTCCACCTCTAATATGGATGCTAGAAGGAAACTCTTGCATGTAAGGAAATGAAAAAAAAAATAATAAGAGTTTACAACGTTTTGCTTGCCAACACAGCCCGTAAGGGCTTCGATATCAGTTCAGTGCCCCTTCATATTATTGTTGAGTCCGAAATCTGAAAATCCGATTACAGGGCATTTAACATTGTTAAGTGTTCATTAAGTCCCGCAGGGAATATTAAAGTACGATAGCAACTTTTTAAGAGAACGATTTGCGTTACAAAAATTACACAAAAATTCTGTTAGATATGAGATGGTCGATCGAAAATTCGGGACTAGATGCCCGACAAGGTTAAAACATTTTTTTCTTTCTTCCACAGCCCATCCGGCCTCCTATCCCGCGGGTATCGAGGGCTTTTCCCTTGGTTAAAGCAGCTAATTCAGACGTTAAACATGCGTGGATCTATACCTCCAGTGTTCCATACGTCTTCTTGAAATAGTGTTTAATTGAACACAGGGGCCTAACCTTAGGAACTGTACCGGACTGGTGATGGTATGGAAATATGCAGTGATAATTAAGTATATTCGCTAAGAAGACGGAATTTTCGGATAAAGGCCGTGTATTTCGGAGGAACATAGAGGCCGGATCTTCAACGTCAAACAATACGCCAAGCTAAAAACATCCAGATGGAGGCAGTAAGCTTCTGTGTTATGATCCCGTGTAGTTTTGAAAGGGGTCCCGAAATTTTGGAGGAACATACTGCACATATATTTTAGAGAACAAGAATTGTATCCAGAAAGTTGGGGTAATACTTTCCTTTCAAATACTGGGTGACCAAATGACAGACTATATGGCGTGGGCGTGTAGTTTTGAAAGGGGTCCCGAAATTTTGGAGGAACATACTGCACATATATTTTAGAGAACAAGAATTGTATCCAGAAAGTTGGGGTAATACTTTCCTTTCAAATACTGGGTGACCAAATGACAGACTATATGGCGTGGGCGTGTAGTTTTGAAAGGGGTCCCGAAATTTTGGAGGAACATACTGCACATATATTTTAGAGAACAAGAATTGTATCCAGAAAGTTGGGGTAATGCTTTCCTTTCAAACATTGGGTGACCAAATGACAGACTATATGGCGTAGAAAGATTTCTACCCTGAAGATGGAGACAGTTTTTTCTTCCTTGAAGGCCTTGGTAACCTTCTACCACTTTATGTGTTGTATAAGACTTCTAATCTGAAGACAGAGGTAGTATGTACCTCCGAAATCCATCTATCAGACTACATGTGACATGAGCTATAACACAACATGAAATTTCATGGCCTCGAACACCTCAAATACCAGGCACAATTAAGGTTACGTTACGTTCACCGGAATGCGAACAGACTCACAGCAGGGCTATGAATACAGCTACTCGTAACTGATTATTTGAAAATGTGGCCAAGTTCAGGCACTTGGGAGTAACGGTAACAAATCAGAATTACATTCATAATTAAATCAACGGTAGGATAAATTCTGAAAATGATTTTGCGAGTATCTTATCATACCGCCTCCTAACTATAAATCCAAAGACTAAAATATAGAAACCTATAATGTAAGCCTGACGTTTTATATTATTGACACCAGATGTCTCTAATTTTCAGGCAAGAATACTGATTAAAACTGTTTTAAAAAAGAAATAATGAGGAGAATAATTGCAAGTAAGGTCAGGGAACTAAGAAATACATACAAAATTTAGGTCGAAAACCTGTAGGATGAGACTGAGAAGCAGACATAGACGGTAGGATAATATTAAAATTACTTTTAAATGACTAATGTGCGAATGTTTGAGTTTGATCCAGTTATCTCTTGTGAATACGGAAACTTGCCGTTGTTCAACCGCTGCTCGGCGCGGACGACGTAGAAAACACAGCATTATCTATTGTTGCGTGTGGGACCGTAGGCGGGGTATGGATTGAAGAACTGGATTTTCTGAACACTTGTACACACTACTCATAATTACAATTAATTACAGCGCTATCGCTAATCTACACACTTTACAAATAATAAATTTTCTCAACCTTCACTTGTCGTATCCTGGCAACGGATCCATAACAGTCCCACTGTAACTACACATTCCAAATGTCACTGTATTACAGCACAGTCTACATCTTTCCTCCACAGCTGCCCTGCCGATTCTCAATTAACTCGACACCCGACTGGCGGCCATTTCCTACCAACCTCCTAGTCTTCTGTTTTCACAGTCCAGCAGTCAACTGGGCACTCATTATGATGCCTCAATTCAGCAGCTAACTCACTCAATTAATTACAAGCTAGCCTGGGGTCCTCGTTATATAGCCTCGGGGCACACCCAACAAGAAATCCTCTCATTATTATTTGTGTATTCGTTGTAGCAGGAACGTTGCCTAGCAAGGGACGGCTGTTGATTCGTCTATTTCATAACCAACAGCTATCGACGGTACAATATAAGTGAAATATAATTAATATGTGAATGTTTATTTCTGGGATACTTACGTCTCCACCGCTGTCTTTCAGCCCTATAATATTTGGGTGTTCGGCAAGTTGGGTGATAATGTCTGCAGTCAGGTCAATGCCTGTGTTGGCCGGCATGTTGTATACGATGACTGGAATCGAACTCAGATCCGCCACGGTCTTATAGTGCCTTATTAGTGCCTCAGCCTGTTTAGGAACAGAGAAAAAAAAATGAACTGCCTGAACACGTTTACAAACACAAAAAGTAATATACAGCGCGTCTGTTCAGCAGAACCACAAGTATCACTTAGTCTTCCGTCTGTAATACAACAGCATCAATATAGATCTGAGATTAAATTAGTTCACATTTAATTCATTAAAACGTTCGTTAAAATATCCAAAAATGTCACTAAAGCGTCTGTTCATTCCATGTTCATGCGTTACATGTTTCGGCTATACAGGCAACACATGATATAAGGAAACTTCACTGTTCACTTTGTCAGATACTAACTTACTTACTTACTTACTTACTTACTTACTCATGGAGCTGGGCCCGTCTTGAGGAGCCGCCAATTCTGCAGCTACTCAAGAATTTCCCAGCTTTTTATGGAACCCGAAGGTTCATTACCGTGTTCAAAAGATCCTTCCGCTGATTTCTATCCCGAGCCAGCTCAATCTAATCCATACCATCCCATCCTATCTCTCTAAGATCCATTTTAATATTGTCCACCCACCTACGATTTGGTCTTCCCAGTGGTCTCTTTCCTTCTGGCTTTCCCACCAATATTCCATATGCATTCCTCTTCTCCCTCATTCGTGCTACATGCCCTGCCCACATCCTGCTTGACTTTGTCAATAGTACTCTTAAGGGACGTTATCATTATTAATTTTGATGTTACAGAATGTCTCTTCTTCCTATCTTTTTATTACGGTAGAGCTGACACGTTCTGATTGCCCCCTGGGAGGCCTCACGAAAGAAATCCAGCCCTGGTCGACTCACCGTCATGCTGTTCTTATAGTAGCTGGGATTGACGACCATTACAGCATTGGCTCCAGCTGCCGCCATTTTGTTGCTGAGTTCAACTGTATTACGCGTCGCTGTAAATTAACAAAATGGAAGCTGAGTTTTCCCTCACGAAATATGCAGTTTCGAAGTAGGTTATTTTTCTTTCTGGTATAGACAATTTCTGAAACTACCATAAATACCAAGGTTAATGGTAGGAGCGACGTGAATTTTGAAGTTCTGAACGAGTAATTCACCTTGGTAACGCTGTTTAACTCAATGACCTAACAAAATAAGAAATAAGGTAAAGTTTTCCCTGTGTTTAATTAATTAAGCACTATGCCATATGGACATATGGGTCAATGGAAATACAGCTCCACCATTTTTGACCTCAGCACTAGATGCAGGCGAGTGCTTAGCTTCACGCCCCCGCCGCTTTACCCCCAGGGAAAGAGCCCCAGTACGCATTGCATAGTTTGGGCCTCCGGAGCCGGAATGGAATTTGTGGGGTACAGAAAAATTCTGCTCCTGTTGGGAATCGAAACACGGCCGTCCATTTCGTAGCTTGTCGCTATGCCGACTCCAAGAAAATATGAGCTGCATGAACTAAATTATAATTAAAAGTCATCTGTATACCTTAACCAGAGTTTTTAAGAAGTTTTAAATGACTTATTTACTTACTTATTTATGGAAGCGGCCTCCGTAGTCTAGAGGTAACGTTCCCACCTCATGACTTGTGGTACGCGGGTTCAAACCCGGCGGAGGTCGTGGAATTTTTAAGGGCGGAAAAAATCAGGGAACAAGTCCTCCGGGAGGGACTTTAAGCCGTGGGTCCCGTGTCGTAGCTTTACGGCACGTAAAAGAACCTCATATCTCCAAAGGAGGTCACTGAGCCAAATTCAAGGTCATTTCCCGCCCAACAGTAGTCTCTAACGCCTCTGATAGATGGGGGAAGCATTATAGATACCGCCAAGCCAGTAGAGGCCGAACTCGCTGGCTCGGTCGGGACTGATGGTACGCACCAATATCGGTAGGGTATAGAGACTGGTAGAATATCATAGAGGGAAGCACAATGGACCAGTACTGGTCTAAGTGCATGGGGAAACCCACCCTCTCCAATAACTAACTAACTACTTATTTATGGAGCTCAGTCCTTCTTGAGGAGCCGCCAATTCTGCAGCTACTCAAGAATTTCTCAGCATTTTATGGAATCCGAAGGTTCATTACCGTGTTCACAAGAGCCCTCCACCAGTCCCTATCCTGAGCCAGATCAATCCAATCCATACCATCCCATTCTCTCTCTCTAAGCTCCATTTTAATATTGTTCACCCACCTACGTCTTGGTCTTCCCAATGGTCTCTTTCCTTCTGGCTTTCCATAAATATTCTACATGCATTCCTCTTCTCCCCCATTGGTGCTACATGCTCTGCCCACATCATCCTCCTTGACTTGATCATTCTAATTATAATTGGAGAAGAGTACAAGTTATGAAGCTCCTCATTATGCAGTTTTCTCCAACCTCCTGTCACTTCATCTATCTTCGGTGCAAATATTCTCCTCAGCACCCTGTTCTCAAACACCCTCAGTCTATGCTCCTCCCATAATATTTTAAATGACTACAAGCTGGAAGGTCGCGGGTTCAAATCCCGATGAGGTCACTGGATTCTTTTCAATTGACCTAATCCTTCCAGCCGCACTATGGCCCTGGGATCGACTCAGCCTCTAACAGAAATGAGTACCAGGAATCTTCCTGGGGATAAAGGACGGCCAGCGCGTAAGACTGACAACCTTACCGCCATCTTTGAGACGATTGTCTAGATACTGTGGGACCCTCAACGTCTCATAACCCTATGGGCCTTCACGGCCTGGTACAGGGATAGCTTTACTATTTTTACTTTTACTTAAACAGAAAAACGTATCTTCACATGAGTACCGGCATATTCTGTCCCCACTTTTGGATGGAAATGAGACAATGCAGTTTTATAATTCTCCTTATTGTGCTCCAGTGCCCCAATTCCTTACCTTTAGCTTGCTTTAAGTGTGGGGTTTCAGAATGTGTTTTGCTCCAAGTCAAATCTAGGTTACACTTGGAACTAATCTCAAACTCAATTTTCCGAAAACCAGTGCTGATGGACACAGTACAGTACAACAATCAGGTTTCGAGATGTGTGCTAATGTACTGTGTGTACGTGTGTGTAATAACAATAGTAAAAATCTGCGGGCGCTACAGACTCTGATGAACCTTGCCTTATGTTTTACAGTTTCTTAATCATATAGACAGTCGGTAGAACTCCTTGGGCGGGGGATCAGCCTGCCTCAAGGCCACTACATATACAGGACAACACAAACACAAGAGACAATCATTCATGCCTCGAGTGGGATTCGAACCCACGATACCAGTGTTCGAGCGAGCGAAAACAGTTCATGCCCTACACCGGGTGGCCACTGTGATCGCAGCATGTATGTATGTATGTAGGTATGTATGTATGTAGGTATGTATGTATGTAGGTATGTATGTATGTATGTAGGTATGTAGGTATCAGGTTGATTAAATCAAGGAGGATGAGATGAAGGGCCATGTAGCATGCAAGATAGGTGAGAAATTCATACAGGATTTTGCTTACAAATCTGAAGAGGACACAACACTTAGAAGATATACGCGTAAAGCATAAAAAGAAGGATAATATTAAAATACATCTTAAACCAGTAAGGTTCAAGGACGTAGACTTGATTCATCTGATTCAGGATAGGACCACATGCCGGGCGAGGCGCGCGTATTTCTGCTTATTATGTACGTATGTATATGTAAGTATGTACTATGTATGTATGTGGGTATGTATATATGCATGTACTAGGAACTTTGCTTACTCGAAATGAAAGGCTACTTTGTGCTTCACTAATTCGGATTATCGCTTAATCCGGATGACCCCCCCCCAATTACTCCGGATTAGCGAGGGTTTATTTATTAAAATATGAACTAGAGCAGAAAAGAGGAAATAAATCAATGTACCTAGAAAATATACTGGAAGTTGCAGATGAATTCCGTCAGTTTAAATTGAACACCCTGTATGACCCCGACCTATGCTGCCGTGTGCATTACAAACTGGAAATACCATTCATTGCTGGCATACCATAGACTCTGGGTCCGAGATTCTGTTCCACGAAACACAATTATGGTGTTATTTTGAGGGTAATGTATGAATTTACAAAACTGAATTAAGCAAACCCCAGAGATAATTTATAAATAATTAAGGATTGCTTAGTACGCATTCCGAAAACACCTCGCCCCTTGGAAATAACAAAATGTTAGTCACATATAACACGAATGAGGCAAATTACATTTGGTTTTATCGGATATTTTCATTACAGAGTTGCCACTTGGACTGTCCAGGTATTACGCCAACGGTAATTAAACAGTGGCACGCGACTTTCAGCCGGAATTAACCATTTTTTAATTGTTCTTGATTCAATATTGCGAACAAAAGGCTAGAAAGAGTAACAAGGTGAATCTATCCCTGTAACAGGCCGTGAAGGCCCAGAGGGGTGTGAGAGGTTGGGGCTCCAACATCTTCTAGACAATCGGCTCACAGATGGCGGTAATGCTGTCAGCCTTACGCGCCGGCCGTCCTTTACCTCCCAGGAAGATTCCTGGTACTCATTTCTGTTAGAGGCTGAGTCGACCCCAGGGCCATAGTGCAGCTGGAAGGATTAGGTCAATTGAAAAATTTCACATCAACGGGACTTGAACCCGCGAACTTCCGGCTTGTAGTATAGTGCCTCAACCAACTACGCTACCGCGTGCCACACTAGAAATCAAGTGAAAAATATTCAATACCAGAAATGAAAATAATATTATTAGCCAACGTTCCTTGTTTTTGTAGAAATTAAAGTAGGCTTATGATATCACCATGCTGTCTGTGTGTCTGTGATTCCTCTCCTTATCAACTTTTGAATGGCTGAACAAATCTTTATGACTCTTGGTATGTATATCACGGTATCTGAGTCCATCTCAACGACATATTTCATAAACCCCTTCCATCAATTTGTCTACCTTTGCTATCGTTGCTAGGTAACGGCTCGGTAAAGACGCTAATGCAGCAAAGAATGTACAAACAACAATAGAATAAGTGTTAGACGTGTCGTTTCTATAGGGTCCGTGGCGTATGAAGGAAATTATGTGATTAGTACTTCCCAGAACTTCTTGTTATGTATATGGGAGCAGGGACAGCTCTGTGAGTACAGTGACTAGGCTACGAGCTGTAACACCGGGATATCGGGGTTCGATTTCAGACAAAAGAAACAGATGCTTCTTTTTTCATTGCCTACCCCATTTCTGTGGTCCAGCCAGCCTCCTAAAGAATGGGTACAGTGGGTTGTCTCCCCGGAGATAAAGTAGACGAAGCGTGAAGCCGACCACACACCTCCTTGTAGTACTGATGTTATGAACGCCTGATGTTAATACCTTCACCCCCCACACTTTAATATTCAAGGTATATTTCTGCCGTGAAGAACGAGGCAGTAGGTTTCTCCGAAACGTTGATAAGAATCAACCAGACTATACGGTGGGAGCAAGGGCAAGCCAGGAAAATATTCTCCAGATTTAAAAAATTAAATTTAAAAAAAGCAGGAAATATACCAAAAATATTTCATGTTAAAAAAATTGTTCGTCTCCCCTGAACACTCTGGGATGATCAGCAACAACAGTAAATGAGGTCTGAAATTTCGTGACGATGGTAAATTAATACAATGATTGATTATCTGGCTATTACTAATCGTCCTAAAGCTAGTTCCTGTATCCGGAGATGAAAATTGGCCCTGTCAACAGGGCTCAACTGACTAGGGCGCTTACCTGAGGATGGAGACAGTGTCCAGTCCCCGAAACGTCGTTTTGCATATAAAGTGTCAAGAGGCAGACTTACTCTATCGAATGCACCCAACGTAGTATAGCTTTTACCTGAGGGCTGAGACAGAATACAGTCTCCGAAACGTCGTTTTGCATATAAAGCGTCCGGAGACTTGGACTAGCTCTATTGAGTGCACCCAACGGAGTATGGCTTTTACCTGAGGATGGAGACAGTGTCCAGTCCCCGAAACGTCGTTTTGCATATAAAGTGTCCGGAGACTTGGACTAGCTCTACTGAGTGCACCCAACGGAGTATGGCTTTTACCTGAGGGCTGAGACAATACATTATCCGAAACGTCGTTTTGCATAAAGTGTCCGGAGACTTGGACTAGCTCTATTGAGTGCACCCAACGGAGTATGGCTTTCACCTGAGGGCGGAGAGAGAATCTAGTCTCCGAAACGTAGCTTTAAATTAAAATCTGGAAGACGGTAAATGAGCACAAAATCAATTATTAGAGTAAAAATAATCTTAAATGTAACTTTGTGGGCATATTCTCTGACTAACGCCCCCCCCCCCAGAAAACATCCAGGCGGCGCCCCGGATTATACATCCAGATTCTTTAAGAGATTTATAAAGGATATGACCTCACAACTATGCGTTCATTTTAAGTCGTGAGTACCGGGTTTAGTTACCACTGGGTCAGTCCGCGGCGGTCCGCGGTGTGAGAACTATGTTACGTACATTCACAGGAGGATCCAGCGATGAGCAGTCTGTCGGGTGCAATGAGCTGCCTCACGCGACTCACCATTTCAACCCTCTCTTGGGATGTCATCAGTGGGTACTCACCATTTGAGCCCTGCACTACGTATCCTGCACACACATACACACACAGGGTTGGAGAGTCTAGCACAGCGGTTCCAACATCCAGTCTCACGTAACCATAAACATATCCAGGAACTAAATAACAATATGCAGACACTTAAATTTAATATTATACAGTATATATACATAGGACCGCCTCTGTGGTCTAGTGGTCAGTGTTCCTGGCTACAGATCCAGAGGTCCCGGGTTCGGTTTCGAGAGCTACCAGATTTTCTGAGAAGTAGTGGTTCTGGAACTGGGTTCACTCAGCCTCGTGAGGATAATAGAGGAGCCATTTCAAGGAAATAGTGGCTCCGGTCTAGAAAACAGAAATTAACGGCCGTGGGGATCGGTTGCGCTGACCATGCGACACCCTCTATTCCCTAAAGTTGGCACTAACTTCGCCGATAAGCGGCGGTCGCTCGGTCGGTATAGTTCGCTTGCGGACTACAGGCCACGGAGTTTATTTGTTTGTATATATATACATCCACGATCCAGGAGTCTGAGTCCCGGTAGGGTCAAGAATTTTCTCTTCTCGTCGTCCAGACCAGCTCTGCGGCCCACCCAGCCTCCTATCCAATGGGCACCCCGGGGGTAAAGTGGCCGTGGCGTGAAGCTGACCACTCACCACCAGTGCTGCCGTCAAGAAAGCATCTATATGGACTCCCCCATACGTTTTCATGGCGTAGTGTTTAATTAGCTACGCACTGAGACATCTTCACTTTTTATACACGTAAAGTAGTAGCCTCAATATAAGGTAAGTTTTTTAAGTACTGCTTCTTAGAGAAGATGAGTCGTTTTATTTTCGTGTCCTTAAGATTATATATGAAGAAGATGATTGTGGGGAGCTCTAATTGCTAATTCTAACGATATTTATGAAAATGCATAGCACAATATTTAATATTTCGAATTTAATGTTTCTTAATGGCACAATTCTTACTTCGACGCGAAGATGAATGCATATCGATATTAGTGGGAAATCCAGAAGGAAAGATACCACTAGGAAGACCAAGACGTAGGTAGTTGGATAATATTAAAAACGATCTTAGAGCTATAAGATGAGGTGGTATAGACTTGATTGATCTGGCGCAGGATAGAGGCTCTTGTGAACACAGTAATGAAACATCGTGTTCCATAAAATGCTTGGAAGTTCTTGAGTTTGTCCGATAAAGCAGCTGCACACAAGAGATACAGAGAGAGAGAAACTGACGGAAATAAATTCCAACGGCATCATTACATCCACGCCTAAGCCTCAGGGTTTCTCTCGTCTCTCCAGGGTTTTCGAAAAAAGAAAATTGTAAACGTATTTATTATCTCCCCGTTCGTGGCAGTTATATGGTATGAATACGCATAAATACTTGCTTCTTTTCCATTACTCAGATCAGTGAAAACATGGCTGCTAGAAATCTGAAAGGTTCTTACATTTTAGATGTCTTATTCTGCATGAATGTTGTATTGCTTCCAGAGTACATATACTTGACTACCTGAACATACGTGCATTATAGTATCACGTAATAAATTTATCTTACGTTTAATCATTTATTACGAAAGCAGGCTTCATACATCCGGGAATATAGGCGAAGTACAGTAAAGTATATTAAAAGCATCGTAAACATTCCATGTCGTAATTAAAGTGCTGAGGAAACTATACCTGTAATGTATCAAGAAGGTACGTGTAATTAAATTTTTATATCAATATGACCCAACGTAAAGTAGATCTATAAGCTTTAGAAGTATTGTGATATGTACGACTCGGTAAACACGTGCCCGCGGTAAGCACGCCTCAATAACAGAGAGTCTGTTTTGTAAGCGGTCCGCGCCGCGACCGTTGCTATGCAATAGTGCGGCAAGCACAACTAAAACAATACGACACAATAGAAGATGGCGTTTTCTGCGTTGTCCATGCATAGTGGTTATAAAGAAGTGTTCGGTAGTGCAGAACAGTAGTCGAGAAGTGAAGAGTCGTCTTTCGGGACGCCAGCCTGCCCGGATATGAGCTTGGAATTGAACTGACTGAGTCTTCAGAATTGGCAGCTGCAGACTATTGGCAAGAAAGGAATTAGGCTGTGAAAAGAGGATTTCATATGTTATTTGAAGTGACAGTGAGACTGTTATAAATCCGTTGCCAGGATACGACTAGTGAAAATTGTGATCCCTAGTGCGTGTGTAACGGTGAACTGTGAAGTTTGTACGTTAGCGATAGCGCCGTATTTCCTGTAGTTCCGAGCACTGTGTATAAGGTGTTAATAAATCCAATCATCCCTGTCTTATAACTCACGCGCAAACCTCTACATATAACAATATAATAAACGTAACTTAGACTTCAAAACAATTAGTTTTAGCAATAATTGATGATTCCTTACTTACTTCTTGGTTCGACGATCCTTATTCGTTTTATGACAGATACATATTCTTCTGTGATATTTACTTTTTGTCACAATATATCTGCTTTCAACTATCGTAAAATATTCTCTATATCTTACAGCCATCTACATCTGGATCTTCCAAATTATTCCATTACCTTCTGGCTTGCTTGCAAAATGTTCTTAGCTGCTTATTTACTTCCTAATGGAGCTTAGCCCTTCTTGAGGAGAAGCCAAATCTGCAGCTGCTCAAGAACATCCCAGCATTTTATAGAACCCGAAGGTTCATTACTGTGTTGACAAGAGCCCTCCACTGGTCCCTATCCTGAGCCAGATCAATCCAGTCTACATCATCCCATCCTATCTCTCTAAGATCCATTTAAATATTATTGTTCACCCACCTATACCTTGGTCTCCCCAGTGGTGTCTTTCCTTTTGGCTTTCCCACCAATATCATATACGCATTCCTCTTCTCCCCCATTCATGCTACATACCCTGCCCACCTCATCCTCCTTCACTTGATCGTTCTAATTATACTTGGAGAAGAGTACAAGTTATGAAGCTCCTCATTATGCAGTTTTCTCCAACCTCCTGTCAATTCATCTCCCTTCGGTCCAAATATTCTCCTCAACGCCCTGTTCTCAAACACTCTCAGTCTATGTTCTTCCCTTAATGTCAGAGACCAAGTTTCACATTCATACAGAACCACAGGCAAAATTATAGTTGTGTTCTTAGCTAGCCCTGTTTAATTCATTTGAATCACATTCCCCAACCACTCCAACCTAGGATGTGTAGCCCCGTCACACATTTTGTTTTTTGTTTTGCTGTGTGTCATGTGTTTAGACCACTCGTCGAGGTTTCCAAATATAAGAACTGTGCCACATTTTCAAAGTACGCCTTTAGGCACTAAATACATTTATAACCCAGAAAAGAATAATGAAAATTGGAGATAAAACTGTTAGGAACTAAGGGAACGAGTTTATAAGTGCATGAGGGCAGAGACGGAAGAGTATGAGGAGAGACACGTGACAGCCCGCTGTGAGAACAGTAATGGACTCTCGGATTCCGTAAAATGCTGGGATTTTTTTAAGTGGCTGTGCAACTGTTGGCTTCTAAAGCAGAACTAAACTCCATGGAGTTGAGTCAATCCGTTGCTCGATAATGTTCTGCTACAGAGCTACAGAGCGACAAGTCACAGAAAACAGCAGCTAAAATCAGGATTTCACTAACTAAAGTATAGACCGCTGAATGCTAGATGATTGATGAATTGGCAAGGACTTGAAAGGAAACGCGTGGTGGCCTAATTGAGGTAATATACAAGAATTTGCCTGCAGGGATTGACGAGAACTACTCAAAGCCTCAGAATAGTTGATGTGCCAGTCGAGATTCGAAAGGAGAACCTCCCATATATGTCCAGAGGATTCTGATGCTGGTACAGGCATTGAGATTCCAAAGAGTTAGCCAAGAAGATACGCATAAACATACATTTATTAGACATTTTCATTATCTCATTTTTTAAATTGCCTCTGCTTCTATTATCAGGTAAAAAGTACTGTAGCGTGTAGAGCCGTTACTGGGTAACGCACTTCACAAACAAAGGATGTTCCCAAGGAAACGATTTGAGCAGTGTCGCAACAGCAACGAATCAACACACAACAATACATCATCGGGCTACAATGATACTAGTCGTAGTTGAGTTGCATCTAATTTCAATATGGACCGATACTGTGTTCTTGTGAGTTTTAAATGCATAAATTGAATTGCATAAATTGTAATTCAATTCAAGAACTAGGGCTAGTATCACTGTACGCCTGATGATGACCCAATATAAGGGTCGAAACATGTAGCGTCAACAGCAAAATAAAACAAATGTTGATATACACGTAATAGTGTCTGTTTTGTTTTTCAGGAATATTGTTGTGTAGACTGCCCGTATTATATACGTTATATGTCCTATATACGTATAACACACAACAGAATGCATACTATTAAGATTATTTATGAAAGATGTAAAATCTACGAAGTGCAGAATTTAAAACCTAGAAACCGAACACTGTGATCTCTATAAAACATAACTGTGGTGATAAATATCGTACCTTTAATTAACGAACTAACCTTGAAACGGTATTTTCTCCCAGTGCTGTATGTTTCTTGCCAGTTTATCATAAGCTATGCTCTCGTCTTCATTAAAAGGCGTAGGTATGGGAGGAAAGACTCCGGACAGATCCACCAGAGCAGCTATTCTGCTGTAGTAACGTTTTGTTTGACGGCCCACTTCCACCGAAACACAGCCCCAAGAAGCAGGGTACAGTTTAGTCACAGCTGATCCAGCAACAGAACTAGATGCAAGAGAAAACAATCCCCAAGACAGCTTCATCAGTGCTTCCCAGTTGAAATTTTATATAACTTGACAATTCGATATCACTGTGAAACCTATGAGAACCTTTCTCACAATCCACAAAAACACACCCGCACCTCAGCCTCTTGATTCAACTATTTTTAAACCGTCAACATGAAGATATAAAACAAAGACTGATTCAAGTCACTTCATAGTTTCAACTTCAGTTCATAACTAGACACAGATGTCTGCTGCTCGGCCAGAACGTTAGGCTAAACTATACCACGTAAAGTAGATAACAGAGCACGTTATATTTCCTTATCTTTATATGCAAGTTCGTTTTTAGTGAAGACGTTTTTATCTTACACACTCTTGATCTGACCTTGCCTGAACTGTATCTCAGTCAACGGAATCCAAACACACCGCAGCTGGTACAAAGAGTTTCATCCGGAAAGATAATTCAGTCAGTACCAGTCGGTTGGCCGGTTAAATTGCTGCTGGCTCACGCCAAAGAACTCACTCACTCATGGAGCTGAGCCCTTATAGAGATGCTGCCAGTTGTGTAGCTACTCAAGAACTTCTCAGCATTTTGTGGAACACAAAGGTTCATTACCGTGTTCACAAGAGCCCTCCGCCGGTCCCTATCCTGAGACAGATCGATTCAATCCATACCATCCCATTCTCTCTCTCTAAGATCCATTTTAATATTGTTCACCGACCTACGTCTTGGTCTTCCCAGTGGTCTCCCTCCTTCCGGCTTTCCCAGCAATATGTTATATGCATTTCTCCTCTCCCCATTCGTGCTGCATGCCCTTCCCACCTCATCCTCCTTGACTTGACCATTCTAATTATACTTGGAGAAGAGTACAAGTTATGAAGCTCCTCATTATGAAGGTTTCTCCAACCTCCTGTCACTTCATCTCTCTTCGGTCCAAATATTCTCCTCAACACCCTGTTCTCAAACACCCTCAGTCTATGTTCCTCCCTTAATGTCAGAGACCAAGCGTCACAACCATACAGAACCACAGGCAAAATTGTAGTTTTGTATATTCTAAGTTTTACGTATTTAGACAGCAGACGCGAAGACAAAAGGTTCTGGACTGAATGGTAACAAGCATTACCCGAGTTCAATCTCCCCTTAATTTCTTCCTGAATTGGGTTTTGATTGAGTAGTTACTATAGGATTCTGACAATGGTGTATAACACACAGAGATATTGGGTTTTCGGACTTTATCCATCGTCCTGGTTTTTAAGATAACTAAGGAAAAACACGACGTTTCGGAAACTGGATCTGTTTCCGTCCTCAAGTGAGGGAAAACACCTATTCTGTTGGCTCCCTTAGAAAGAGCTAGCCTCAATCACTGATGGCGACTGCTCTTGCCATCTTCTTCTTGGTCGTCCACGACTTCTTATTCCATGAAACTGATAGCCCATCTTTCGGCTGGGAATCTTCAGTCATCCGTTGTACGTGATTTTATCAACTTTCTCTATATTTATTAGAAGTGCCATTTAAAATTATTTTCCAACAGAGCACCTTGCTGTGTACTGCGTACAGGAAGACTGATGATTGGAAGAAGATAAAAATGAACTAAAAGGGGTGAGACGCGGATGGTTTTTGACCGGCTCTAGGGCCCACCTATCTTCCTATCCAATGGGTACCGGGGGCTCTTTCACTNCAAGTCATAACTGCAGTACGAAGGGCTATGCCCGAATTGTCTATTGATTTATATATATGAAAGTATATACATATGGAGACGGCTTATAGCTATGTACGTTTGTTATATTATGTGTACGGATTACGTCATTTTCACGTCGTATATGTTCATGTACTTTCGCTACTGACAGCTCTGTGTTCGAGGCTGTGCTACCAGAAATATAAATATGTACCTTAACTGTTTTTCTGGGAAAGGAGGGGATGAGATAAAGTTAGGGAAGGAATAAAAGGAAAGGACGAAAAGGGCTGGAGGATAAAGATACGAAAGAAATTATTCTCCGTTGAAATTTAACGGGCTCGCCATCTCTGAAAGGAGAATAACGAAAGCTTCCATTTCTTCGCCTGGGGCTTCTTTAAAAAATAATTTCACGGTATATTTAAATAATAAAATTACTTATTTATTATGACATTATGGAGACATTACGTTGATCGAAAACCAATATTACCAAAAGTGCGAAATAACGTAATATCATACGTGTCTTTCATATTATTTATCGTGCTGAAGAAGCATATTGATCGGTTTATGCATTAAACAAAATAATAACAGCAATGGGCAATACACAACTTCGGTTATACGTGTATATGTTATTACCTTCATTTTCCAACCACTTTTCCCTCGCAAAAACAGACCCTATTGCTGACTGGATGGGTTGCTACCATAGCAGGCCCGAAGGCTCTGAGAACGAGAAATGTTCCAGCTTGTACCAGGGTTCGAACCTCATATCTAGCCATTTTACTGACTGAAATATTCCGGTTCATCACAGCCTATGGTTTCGTTGTTAAGTTATAGGGCCTATGCAAAGCTCCTACTTGCAAGTAAAATACTTCAGAGTTTCTTTAAATAATCAATAGGTGGCATCAGTTGTCTCCAACGGCATCCTTCGGGACTATCAAGTATTTACTTTACTGTCCGTTTCGTCCTTACGTCTAATTCAGTTCGTATGTTTTACTTTCACTGTAATGAAGTCAACGGTTAATGAACAGGTATCGGTGGTAACCAAATTAGCTTCGCAATAATAAATATCAAATTTTGTTTATTTAAAATAATTTTAATGCGCTTCCACAAAATTCCTTACATGTGCAAATTATAACTTACTGGTATCTGTGGAAATAACCTCCGTGGGGATGTATCCATCTGTCCTGCGAAAACTACTGAACGGATTTTGATTAAATTTAGTATTCCTTTTCTCTGTGGCTTTACGGCCCTCTGGACCATGGCTGCTTTTTTCAGTTTCTTAATCCTATACACAGTCGGTGGACCGCCTCTGTGGTCTAGTGATCTGAGTTACTGGCTATATATCCAGAGGTCCCGGGTTCGATTCCCGACGCTACCAGATTTTCTGAGAAGTAGTGGGTTTGGAACGGGGTCCACTCAGCCCGGTGAGGATAACTGAGGAGCTATTTCAAGGAAATAGCGGCTCCGATCTAGAAAACCGAGATTAACGGCCGTGGGATTCGTTGCGCTGACCACGTGACACCTATACGCAAAAGTTGGCACTAACTTCGCCGACAAGCGGCAGTCGCTCGGTCGGTATAGTTCGCTTGCGGACTACAGACCAGGGAGTTTGTTTTTTTGTTTGTTATACACAGTCGGTAGGACTCCTTGGACGGAAGAGCAGCCCCTCTCAAGGCCGCTACCTACACACAAAACAACATAAACACAGAATAACAGCACACAGACATCCATGCCTCGAGTGGAATTCGAATCCACGATCCCAGCGTTCAAGTGAACGAAGACAGTTCATGTCTTAGACCGCTCGGCCACTGTGATCGGACCATACTGACCCTGCATATCTGATTATATTCGTCCCAGAAAGAGACCGCAGACTAAAATAATTGAGATGGAGTGAAAGAGTTGAATATGGTCATTAAAATGCTCTCAAATTCTTGAAACGCTGACCACACAAAGGAGTAACGACACTGCTCATTAATTCTTTCAGAAACGGGTTCAATTTTGACTTCTTCTGACTGATTCTTTTGTGAAGAAAGCAGTCTTCTGGGATTTGGCACCGTGTATATGTGGTGTTAACCGACGTTTCGGAGGAACGTATCGCCCCCATCTTCAGGGTAGAAGAAAAAGTATAAGAAATCTGCAAGCGACAACACCGTGAGAAACGGTAAAGTCGACTGCGAAACGTCGGTTAACACCACATATACACGGTGCCAAATCCCAGAAGACTGCTTTCTTCATAGTCACCGCCGTGAAAGCCTCAAATCTTACATAGTTTTCCTCTATGGGGAGGCTACTCAACGACACATTCGACGACTCGAGACGCTACGATGTCTGCTTTACCGTTTCTCACGGTGTTGTCGCTTGCAGATTTCTTATACTTTTTCTTCTACCCTGAAGATGGGGGCGATACGTTCCTCCGAAACGTCGGTTAACACCACATATACACGGTGCCAAATCCCAGAAGACTGCTTTCTTCATAGTCACCGCCGTGAAAGCCTCAAATCTTACCTGATTCTTTTGTGTCGCCGTTTCCATACAATATCGAAGTTGTTAAATTTATCACATTACTTAATTTTTCTTTTATGTTATACAAAGTGATAATCTTTTGGTTGTTCTACAGTGCAGCTTTCTCATTTCTTTCCATGCACAGCCCATGGGAGCAGGGATAGCTCAGTCGGTATAGCTACTGGCTACAGGCTGGACGACTGAGGGGTTGGAGTTCGAGTCCCGGTAGCTTCAAGAATTGTACATTCATGTCGTCCAGATTGGTTCTGGGGCCCACCCACCCTCCTATCCAAAGGACACCGGGGTCTCTTTCCCCAGGGATAAAGCTGCCGGGGCGTGAAGCTGGCCACTCACCTCCAACTAGGGCCGAGGGTAAGAAAATATGGATGTACACATTCACTCCCCCATACGTCTTCATGGCGTAGTGCTTAATTAGTTAAGCACAGAGGCAACTTCACAGAGTGATAGTAAGTTTGGTCACATGCCAAGTGCGATAACTTAACCTCATCTGGGCGATTTTATGACCGCACTGTATAGTTTGTTTACTTTCTTCAGAACGCTTCTGCCTTGTGGGTGTCCATTCGAATCTTGGCCATGACACCGGATATCCTGGGTTCCTTCATCGTTTTCCCCAGTCCCTTCACGCAAGAACCCCATATATTGAAGCTGCGCCCGCAATTTTTGGAAATTTACAGCCATGACCTTTAAAATTACTTCCGTTTTGATAATACTGAAAATATATCGTGTTTTTTTAGCTGTGATAGCTCAGTAGGTAAAGTGACCAGACTATGGGCTGGACGACCGAGGAATCGGTGTTCTATTCCTGATAGTTTAATACCAGAAGCATGATTTTCTTTTCACGTTTCGGCCAATATTGGCCACCATCAGAAGGCGTAACCCACACTACGAAGGAACGGCTTTACACATGTTGTTTGTACATAGGTTCTTACATAGCATCACAAAAGGACTTATAACTACTTCCATGGAGCTTAGTTTTTCATGAGAAACTGCCAGTCGGTCAGCTACTCAAAAAATTAAAAAAAATGTTATCGAACACAAAGGTTCATTATGGTCTTCACAGCAGCCATCCACTGGTCCCTATCCTAAGACTCATCAATCCAGTCCACACCATGCCACTGTACCGAAGATAAATTTTAATATTTTCCTCCAACCTACGTCTAGGTCTTCGTAGTGGTCTCTCTCCTTATGGCTTTCCCGCCAAAATCTTATGTAAATTCCTCTTCTCCCCCATGA